AAGAGGAAGGAATGCTTGGCGACCTTAATTTCACAAAAACAATGTTAATGAAGAACGGATTGGTTTTGTATGCCCCATTAATGCTCAACGGAACGAACATATCGAATGCTCCAGTTACGTCTATGTCATTAAATTAACATGATGAACGTCTTAGCTCCAGGGTTGAGCACAAAGAAACGAGCGGCTTGGGCACCTTTTAAGAGCATCGAGTATGTAGCGAAGAGAACAAAGAACACCGAACTCCTTGCGCCTTGCGCACCTTTTCGACTCCACTGTTCTTGCCTTAGCTCGTGCGTCGGAAACCTGATAGATTCGTAACCAGAATGAAAGATCACTCAGCATTATTGAGCGCGTAGTCGAAACGACGACACTAGGAGTTTCCGATGTCACACAAGTAAAGGAAGGAATCCGAGCTCTGTCCTGCGTCAACGATTAAAAAACAAAGATGCTGTTCTATAGGCTAAATTGTTGGAGATGAGGTAGGTAAGACACATAATGCGTATGAGTGACAACCAATAGACGAGATCCGTTGGTGACTGTATTGCTCGAGAAGTCAAACGCAGTGCAAGAAGACCACCAACCCGATGGTCAGAGTTCTTCACGAACAGTCTGAGAGAAAGATATGATGCTCAACGAGCACCTAGAGCGATCCCAACCCACTGGGTTTCCTTTGCACGTGACAGGCGAAAATGCAGGATTTACAGGCGCCTCGCTCGAGACGCTCGATGATCAGCGGGACGACAGATGATTTTCCATAATCGTGATATCCACTGTTTCGTACTCCTCATATAATTTTGTTTATTTTCCACAATACAATATTAGACAGCGCGAAAAACTTTTCTTCTTCGAAATCTTCAGAAGAATGCTGCTGGAGCTCCGACATGGGTTTTCCACACGTCATATTTTTGTTCCTACACCTTCGAGACAATATAATGTACGAAGACAACCTGCTCATTTAAGATTCCAATGAGTGGACGTACTAACGGCTCATGTCCAGCGGATGACGTCTATAAGCGACACGCATCCAGGCCGTCTAGTTCCTGACAGCTCTGCAAATGCAGAGTGGTTCTTCGTCTCCGATTTTCGACGTTGATTTGCGCTATCCTCCTTATTTGAACAATATCACCTGAATCATCTGTAGTTCCACTGATCGTCGCGCGACCCGAGCGGGCTCCTGTAGAGCTTCCATCTCACCCTATCGCCTGTAAGAGTGGTCCAGTGGGTTCTGATCATTCTAGGAATTCGTTGAGCATCGCATTTTTCTTCCAGAGCTTTCGTGAAAAACTCTGAGCATCGAGTAATTCTTCGTATTTTTGTTGAGCAAACGCGAGGTGTTATTATTCTTTATTCACGAATGAGCTGACGTTTCGGCGGATTTCGCCTTCCTCAGAGCCGCTATCTATGAGGTTTCCACTAAGTATGTCACGTAGAGACCAACCGCACAGAAATGCACATTATACTTCCATGTGATTTCTGTGCGGTTGGTCTCTACGTGACATACTTAGTGGAGACCTCATAGAAAGCGGCTCTGAGGAAGGCGAAATCCGCCGAAACGTCAGCTCATTCGTGAATAAAGAATAATAACACCTCGCGTTTGCTCAACAAAAATACGAAGAATTACTTGATCAATGCCGAGGTTAATAGAAAGTCGGTCGTGGGAGTTTCTGAGCATCGAGTCAGTGGTCTTCCTGCAGCGCTTTCGAAACCATGAGAAATCTAATTATTAATGCCTCTTGTACATCGGCTGTCGTTCAAACGCTTCGTCTCCGTTTCTCCTTATCTTCAACAATCTAATTCGGATCACAAATAGCTGCTATTTCAGGAATTCTTCTGTCATATGTTCTCTTAAAAGCTGCGTTACCATCCTACTCTAACGACGACTTGTATGAGTGGATTTATCCTATGAACACGAATAGATGATAATCAGGCGGCCAAATACGGGAAATTCACAGACGACAAAGTTAACAAAGATAAAAAGATTTCAATCACTCTCGAAAGTCCAGAGTTAGAATGTTCAAAAAGACTGCTTCTTTAAGAGTTACAGGCTAAACCTCTTCACAAAGTCTTTTCCATTACCCAGTACAGCTATTTCAGTAATACAGCGCACACGACGACACGCTAAAATAAACTATTTCTTTGTATTCTCGTTGAGCAAACGTGAAGTATTATTTTATTCTTTATTCACGAACAAGTTCACGTTTCAACAGATTTCGCCTTCCTTAAAGCCTAGAAAGGCCAAGTTGACAGCAATCTATTCGGCCAAACACCTCCATAACCAAACAGAAAATGCTAAGCTAAGCCAAGATTTCAATCACACTGAACACAGAATAGCTTCTTTGCACACTCACCACTTTCCATGAGTCTTCCGCTAAATATGTCACGTAGAGACCAACCGTACAGAATCCACATGAAAGCGAAATGTGCCCCTCCCATCAGAATAACAGACTTATATACTGCCCAATATCACGCGTGATAATGAGACATTCTTCCCATATACTGCCCAATATCACGCGCGATAATGAGACATTCTTCCCATCATTTTCGGATTTGTGGAATTAATCCGAAATGCCTCGAGAGTTTTGCGCGCTTGTGTTCCCGATTCATGTGCGAGGATCGTGACACGTACTTGAAAGTCCTTCCCGTTATGTCTCTGGGTCCTATGCGTGCTTAGTGGGGCATTGGGTTATAGAAAGGTCCCGTTTATCCTAGCCTTCATCTCAAATGATGTAAGTGCAGCTTTAAAACGCAGCTTAAGAAGGGCGGGTCTTGAGGATTCGGTAAACGCAGTTGAAATGCCACCGAATACACTTAGGCGCCAGCTAGTTCGGAACCGCCTATATGACCGTCTATATGCAACTCATAATTGCATAATTTTCTCTAATGGTGTAGACAGTGATTGCATGAGCTCGCGTGAAGTTTATCTGATCTCCTTTTAGGCGTGCGGAGACGAACGCATTGGCGATACGGGTAGACCACTCTGTGTCCTCATAGAAGAACACCTAGTTGGTAAACATAAACCCAATTCCCCACTAGACATGCATAGGACCCAGAAACATAACGGGGAGGACTTTGAAGTACGTGTAGCGGTTCTCGCACAGGAATCGGGAACACAAGCGCGCAAAACTCTCGAGGCGTTCTGGAATAATTCCAAGGATCCGAAAATGAACCGCAGGGAGGAATGCCTCGTTATCACGCGTGATATTGGGCAGTATATAAGCCTATTATTCTGATGGGCGTGGCACATTACGCTTTCATGTGGATTCTGTGCGCTTGGCCTCAACGCGACTTACTCAGTGGAAGACTCATAGAAAGCGGTGAGTGTGTAAAGAAGCCATTCTGTGCTCAATGTGATTGAAATCTGGGTTTAGCATTTTCTCTGTTTGGTTATGGAGGTGTTTGGCCGAGTAGATTGCTGTCAACTTGACCCTGAGCTCTGAGAAAAGCGAAATCCGTCCAAACGTCGGCTTGTTCGTGAATAGAGAATGAAATAACAACTCGCCTTTGCTCAATTCGCTATTGCTCACTACAGGTTAGAGGTTCACATTGCTGCACTCATCGCCTTTCATGGCTCTTCAACTCACCTTGTCAATGTACGTTCTTGACAGAACAAGATCGTAGCGGTAGATAATTTTGGATTGTTCGTTGCAACGTTGTCCTGGAAGGAAATTGCTGGATTTTATATCGCCTGATGTGTGACCGGATTTGTGGAGCTCTTTGATCGCCTTAATGATAAATTTAAAATACTACCACAATCGTTCCAATATGCCTCATTTCTGTACCAGTTTTTTCTATTGTTTCTTTTCACGTGTAGTGATTTTTTTGTACCTCTTGCATTTGCTCCAGGCTGTTCATGCAAATTTTTGCGCAGAAAAACTATTTTCTACATTTAGCAACTTAAATAACTTTAACTCTTTATGAGTGTGTTTATCCTTGTTATTGACCTCCCAGCGATCTTTGCCGTTCGTATCAACATGATGACAGAAACACTGTTGCTAATGATAAACGTTCTCGATGTCTCCGCTTTGGGAGTGGGAGCAATTTGGCGGGTGTGCGCTATAACTGGCTAATGCCAGGCGCAACGGAAATTTCGATGTTTTCGCAAATGCGTGAAAAGTGCCTAGCTTTTTGCCGAGACACATAGAAGTTGTACGCGGTTTATTGTGTACATTCTTTGCTGTGTATTTGACTACACTTGCAACCAGACGTGAGTTGCGTTCAATTTCATACGTGGCAATTGGAACCGCTGCTCTGAAGTCATCCCCATTCACATGTAGCGGGAAGCACTTTGAACTTACAGCTTCAAACAAGCATATTTCAGTTTATGGCAAACATTAGTCATTTATGCTCATTTGCGAGAACGATGGTTTTAGCAGAAGTGTCGATAATATGTCGATAACTAAAAACTTGACGGGGTTACACAACTAGCGTTTCTCTATTACTAAGAGGGTGCAATGGATCAGTGCTCAATTGATTAAAGTTTTTTCGAATTTTCGAATTGTAACACTCCGAAAACTCTTCGAAACCAATATTTACGAAGAATGGCAAAAATATTCGAAAATTCAATCTTTTTCTATTTGCAAAATGTTATAAACACTAAAACTGACGACACGTTCGTGATTTGCTGGGTGAAACCTCACCTGTTCAGTTTCCTTAAACATACGGCAAATTGACAAATGACATTAAGTTAACATTGATAAGCAATTTTTAATCACCTTCAAAAGTCCAAAGTGAGAGTGTTTAAGAAGACTGCTTCTTAATGAGCTACTGGTTTCACCGCTTCACAAAGTCTTCTACGTAAGCGGATATATTTATTTCAGTAATATAGTGTGCACTACGACGCGCTAATGTAAATTATTTGTCTTGTAAAACCTAATTCTAGTTATTCGCTATTGTTCACTTCGAATTCCTGTTTGATTGGAATAGTTGTGTCTGAGATGGAAATTGGATTTTTCCCAAAACTTTAGCTTAGCTTACAGGATAACTTGCCACATCATTACAGGTTAAAGGCTCGCATTCCTACACTCATCGCCTTTCATGACTCTTGAACTCACCTTGTCAATGTACCTTCTTGACAGACCAAAATCGAAGAGAGAGATAATTTTGGACTGTTTGTTGCAACGTTGTCCTGGAGCGAAATTTCTGCGTTTTATATCGCTTGATATGCAGTCGAATTTGTGGAGCTGTTCAATCGCCTTAACGATAATTTTAAAATACTTCCGCAATCGTGCCAAATTACCTCATTTATGTACCACTTTTCTCTACTGTTTCTTTTCAGATGTAGTGGTTTTTTGTACCTTTTACATTTGCTCCAGGTTGTTCATGTAATTTTCGCGAGGAAAAGCCATTTTTACACTTTGCAACTGTGACTGGAACAACTAGATCGATGGTGAATTGATTAAAGTTCCTCCGGACTTTTGAATTGTAAAAGTTTCGGAAAAGATCCAATCTTTTTATATTTAGAAGACGTTATAAATACTCAAACTGACGACCCATGCGTGAGTCGGTGGATAAAATCTCACTTGTTCGTGTTCGCATATCTGTTGCGGTAGCTATACAAAAGGCTTAACTATAAATGATGCAGTTGTTTCGCGACTTTATACAGGTATACAAACATATATATATATATATATCACGTATCTTCCCAACCGTTTACCGCCTCATCGTGGCTGGGAAGTGTTCCTGGGTGTCAGACTGCGATGTATAGCGGGGGATTCATCCCCTGGTAGGGTCTCCCAAGCCGAGAGGGAGTCTGGCGTTTCTATCAGGAAACTTAGCTAAGAGTAAACCAATACCAGGATCCACGACCGTCCTGGTATCAAAGTCGCATAGCAGTCTCCCTCTGATCCACAAGGACTGCGACTGCCCGTGGTGGTGAAGACCTAGCGCAGACTTTGGTTAGGCTCATCTCAGAGTTCCAGGAAACCACAATGGCTTAACTAGCAAATCTCCGATAATTCGTGATTATGCTAGGGCCCGCACGACCAGTGAGGATGGGTCGTTCAAGCGTCAAGTGCCAATCTATACTTGGTAATGGCTCATTGTCCGTATAAATCCGTATAAAAGAACACCTAGATGGCAAACGAAAACTAAGACAAAGCACCCCACTAGGTGCGCCTAGGATACAAAAGCATAGCAGAAATGATTTTGAAGTAAAAGTCAATATCCTTGCACAGGAGACTAAAACGCCAGGGCGAAAACTTCTTGGATAAATGCCAAAAACCCTACAAGGAATAGCAGGTATGAATGCCCGGAGGTCATACGCGACCTGACCCCGTATGTTCGCATCGATTTCTGATGTGGGACGGTGCAGTCATCAACCATATGCGACTATAATCAGCTGTTCTAAACTTCCTCATTGGAAGTCACGTAAAAAGCGGTGAGTTTTTCGAGAAACTGTTGATCATGTAATTCGTCTTTCTGTTATGTGTCCTATCATGTAAAAAGCATAGTTTTTCGTCTTCTTGTGTTGTTGAAGCGTTTGGCCTAGTAGATTGTATATCAGTGTACCCTTCCAGGCTCTGAAGAAGGCGATACTGCCGAAACGTCAGCCAGCGTTGTATTGTATTGTGTTTTTCTGTTTTTTATGTTTTTGTTTTTTTCTATTTCTATAAATGTATGTTGTTTAACAACCTCGCGATTGCTGAACAAGGAAACGACGCATGTATTGTCTTTGTTTCCAGATGTTTGAAATATTGAAGACGGCAATTTCGCTTTCTGAACGCAGGATGGGAACGCAGTTCAAAATCAACCTCGGCGTTCAATTTGGACATATTTAAGTGATCGCTGTCAACTATCGAAATGATACAGCATGCGTGATAACTTGCAGGAACCTTGTGAGAAAAATAAAACTGCTTACTTGTAACACTCCGAAATGAGGAAGTACCATATAAATAGAGTTTCCTACATAGCCTCGCCTTTGCTTGAGCTTTGTGTGAATGTGTGAATGCAAAAGTGGTGAACTCAACAAAGAGTCGCAAACAGAAGAAGCGTCATCACATAACTAAACATGTACATGCGAACTTGAGATAACTCAATTCTGCTCTATTTGCCTAACCAGGGTGCATGGAACGATGAAAAAACAGTAGCCTGAATAAGGCCGTATTGGTATAAACTGGGCATAGTTTTTACCTTACGCAAGAATGGTCGCACTTTAATTACTCGAATCGGATTTGACGGTCGTGTACGAATACCAGTGTCGAAGACTAATCCCGCATCACCGATTCTTCACTACTACTTCGAGGTTACTTTAGAACTCCACTGCTTTGCTCTGTTATGATGTACATCAGTTTACAGAATGTTACATAAGAATAAATATCTTGAAGATCTTGTTGATACGTATCGCTTATTGCTGATGGTAATCCTAGATAAGAAAACTAGCTGAGAGTGCTGCTCAAATCAGTGCTCATCCCACACCGTAAATATTAGGAGTTTGGAATCGAACTGTATGTGATGAAGAGAGATTTGATCATCCAACCTTCAGTGATTGCATCGAAAGCCTTAGCGACGTACTGATGGTGAACCAGTTGTCTGATGTTTCAGATCTAAGCTTGTGTAAATCTTTGAAAAGCAATGTCATCACCATATACACATAATCTGGTCTATTCGATCCCTGAAAGGTGAGTAAATGGCTACATAATGTATCACCTGAAGATATACCTCATATCTGTGTAATCTATTAACTCGCAAAAGTGCTTAGTCTTCGCTGCTTTAGCAGCTTTCAGCACGTCTATCTCAATATGCAACATAGGTATACCGTAGTTTTCTGTCTTGATCTGTCTGTTTCTGTCTGGCTAATGATCTAAATGGAAGACAGCGTATTCAAACTACAACAATACGGTTCCCGTCGGCTTTAAATATAGGAACTCGCAGCCAAATTGACATTTGCATGGTGTATTGAGATGGATTACAAACTGCCTTACGAAAAAACAGCCAACTATACAAGATAATTTCGTCATCTTCTCATTATGGAAGCAAGGACTGGTTTACTTCAATGAATGGCGTTATACACATACGCGTTTAAGTTCACCAGGAATTCCTGATGGAATGTCTTTCAAGATGGCTTATGTGTTTTCGTGGCTCTCGCTTTGAAGTGTTTCAATCAAATATAGGTACAAAGTGAAGAGAATGCCATGATCAATGGAAATTTAAGATGCCAGCTGTGATTTCTGACTCTGGCGTTTGTGGCCCTTTCAACATGTCAAGGAATCCAAATACGGTGTGATTGATGTAAATAAAGTAGAGATCTCACTTTTCTTCATCCTCTCTGAGGAACGCAGTACCGTGTCCACCGTTTCCTAGCACTTGTTTCAATTTGTACTTCTTCTCGTCCCCTCGAATTTCATCGTTCGACTCTGGCAGGCGATTCTTTCCAACCTTCTTATCTTTCTGTTCAGAAAGTTTCGACACATTGTCGCCTTTATCAGCTGCCATATTTTCCTTCTGTAGTGGTTTTAAACTTAGAAAAGATTCTTAAGCCATCTGGCTGCAAAGGAAACCACATACCTGGTCATTTTTTAGATGAGTTGTTGGCTAATGGACTAACCTGCCCAACACGAAGAATCCGACATGGCAGCAAACGAGTGAATGAACGTTAAAGTACCGTTTATCGTCACAAAGAGTGATATCCGCCGTACCCGATGGACTGATACCACAGGAAAAATCACGTTCATCGATACAAGAGAACTTGTTGATTAATGCGTGCGTGCAACGGTTATTTCGCACTTTAAAATCGATAAACCAACATGTCCCGTCCTATACCTACTTATTAAAACACATTAGTTGGTATCACTTGATGATCATGCGTCAACCAATCCGTCATCATTTAAGGTTAGACCGATCATCAGCTGTGTAGACGGGCCAACGGTTAGAATAACCTGGTTTTTAAGCCTGATACTTACCCAGCTGCTTAACCATATTCCAGCTCACCTCACAAACACCCAAATGTTCCTAGAACGTCTACGTAACGCGTCTCCTAATAACGCGTACGTGATGGAGTCTTTCGACGTTACCGCACTGTACACCAACGTGTCGAATGACTCCGCAATGCAAACCGTCTTCGAACTTCTTGTTGAACATGAAGGTCGAATAAAGCATGGCTTGTCCATCCAGTAGCTAATGGCTCTCTTAAAGGAGTGCCTAAACTGCTCGATTTTCAGATGGTCTGGGAAATATTTCGCGCAAATAAGAGGGTTGACAATGGGACAGCGACTGGCACCAAGCCTGGCCATTGTGTTCATGTCTAAGATAGAAGCCCCTGTTCTCGATCTCCGGCCACTGTACTGCAGATATGTAGATGATTGTCGTGTTCTCTAAGCAGGAGGAAATGGAAAAATGCTTTGAATTTTTGAACGAGCAGTCCGAGTACATAAAGTTCACCCGGGAGAAACCGAGAAAAAACTGGCTTCCATTTTTGAACGTTCAAACAAACCTATCAAGTAGCGGTTACTTGACAAAGTGGTACCGGAAGCCAAATAACAAGAACATCTCGTTCATTTCCTTTCTTCCCACCCTTCACACACAAAGAGGGCGATTGTGAGAAACATGTTTCGAACAGCCACCTCTGTGTGCACTACCAGGGAACTAAAGGAAGAGTCACGCGACTAGGCTCGGCAAATAGCCATCTCCAATGGCTACGAAATAGTAACCCCACGAGATAAGTTTAGAAGGAGAGCGACGAGCCCACTCGAAACACTTGGCCAAAAGGAAATCCCGTTTATGGTGCCTTTTATAAGCGATGAAGTAAGCGTAGCTATAAAACGATGCCTAAGAAGGGCAGGTCTAGAGGAATCAGTAGCGATAGTTGAAATACCAGCGGCTACTCTACGTCGCCAATTAGTTCGTAACCGCCTGTATGACCGTCTATGTGAAATAACAAATTGCGTAATTTGCCCTTACGGCAGGGATTCATGAGTTCAGGTACGATATACCTGACCTCTTGTAATAACTGCGGAGATGAATATATTGGCAAAACGGGCAGACCTTTGTGTATCCGTATAAAAGAACACCTAGATGGCAAACGAAAACTAAGACGAAGCACCCCACTAGGTGCGCCTAGGATACAAAAGCATAGCAGAAATGATTTTGAAGTAAAAGTCAATATCCTTGCACAGGAGACTAAAACGCCAGGGCGAAAACTTCTTGGATAAATGCCAAAAACCCTACAAGGAATAGCAAGGATGAATGCCCGGAGGTCATACGCGACCTGACCCTGTATGTTCGCATCGATTTCTGATGTGGGATGGTGCAGTCATCAACCATATGCGACTATAATCAGCTGTTCTAAACTTCCTCATTGGAAGTCACGTAAAAAGCGGTAAGTTTTTCGAGAAGCTGTTGATCATGTAATAACCATAGTTTTCCGTCTTCTTGTAAGTGTTATTGAAGCGTTTGGCCTAGTAGATTGTATATCAGTGTACCCTTCCAGGCTCTGAAGAAGGCGATACTGCCGAAACGTCAGCTAGTGTTGTATTGTATTGTGTTTCTCTATGGAAGTAAATGTATACTGTTTAAAAACCTCGCGATTGCTGAACAAGAAAACGGCGCATTCAGATTCCAACAAAGTTGTTACTTGATCCTTGACAAGTGGAGGAACTGTATAAATTCATCGACGCCTTGCTTAACGCAATCTTTTAGAAGAGAATTTCCGAGTGCATCGAGCCGCCATTCTCATAGTCACATTAGGAATCGCCATTGGCTCAAGACTACGTTACAAGTTACGTAGCCGAAAACTTCGTCTCACTCAAAAAAGAGATATTTGGAATGGGAAGTTCTTCTAGGATCAAGTAGAGATAGACCTCCGGAGGATGCTCCTTTTTCGTGTTAAACAAATACGCTTTCCATCGTGCACATAGAAGGCTGGAAGCTCTCGGTTGTACAACATTGTGTGAAATTGAATTACCAGGAGAATTCCGGATCTTCCGGACTTCGATTTGATGGCCCCAATCAATCTCCAATACATTTGATCCCTTGTAAGTCACAGAGGAACATCTAGTTGGAGAGTTGGGAATACAACAACGTATTGCTCTAGGCCATAAGGCAGAAAAACATGACGGGAATATTTTTGAAGTGGTAGTCACGATCTTGGGGCGGGAATCAAAAACACCGAAGTGCAACACTTTTTTAAGCATTTTGAACAGACTGCAAAAAATCCGGAAACAGAAAGGACTACCACCTCTCCGCTACACATATCTCCGTGCCTTATCTCAGGCTAATATTTCGGTCTGATTGAGGTTGATTCTTCATCGTATGCGAGCCACATGTAGAAAGGCTGATACTTCGAGTACGAAAACGATGAGTGCTTTGTAGCGGATGATTTTTGGTTTACAATCTTTTTTTTTTCAAGGTTATAGAGTCTTCACTGAATAGCACAGCAGGCAGCGGACCGTGTGGGTTATGTTTTTTGTACGAAATGGTAGGCTGGTGCATGGAAACTCCTCACGGATTCTAGTGCAGGATTTTCATAATTACTACGACTATAAAAATCTGGTGATTACCTATTACATGCTACGTGATAGATACAACCTATACATTACGATGTGCCAGCGATAGTTTTCCATGTGTTTAGCAATGAATCCATTTCAGACAAGGCATGTCAAAGCGATGTGATGGCTAACAAGCTAGGCGGTCTAGTCACTGACATTTTCAAAAGACGGCGATTGGCGAATTCTGTTGGGCTGAGACATATATTCTTTTATTTCTCCCGAATTCCTCATGGAAAATTTAGGGTATTAAACAGGGCGCTTGTGAAATGGTGGCTCTAGATATGACTGTTCCTCCGTGTCGTTTGCTTATTTGATGAATTTGTTCCAAACGATTGCTGATTGTAACTGTTGCTGCGACTGTAGTTGCTTCCCCATAATTTTTGGAGAGAACAAAGTTGATTTTCTAGCAATTAGTAAATTTATAACATATATAGCAAGAACACATTGGTCAAAAATACATAATAAAATCTATGCATGTTTATCGTGATAATAACTTACTCCACTAACCTTCTTGAAACCAGCGAGAATAGTAGAGGCAGGAATTGACTTCATCTGTTGTGCGATGGGGCAGACTTTGGCCAGGCTGACCTCGGGAATCCTGGGAAACGCAGTGCCTTAGTCAACAAAACTCCGAAAAATGGAGATTATGCTGCTCTCAATGCTGGGGCCCTCACAACCAGTGGGGATGGGCCATTCAAGTATCTAACTAGGTACCCAAGTTGTGCGATGAAAATAAGGAAACGACTGATCGTCAAGGCTGGGAAATCCACCAATTTTCAGAAATAGCTGTCAGTTAATCCACAAAGAATAAAGGATGGAGTACTCGGTATTGATCAAACATGAATCATGAACGACATATCCCCAGAACAAGACTCCTTTCATATATTCGGTATTTTTCAAATTCGCAGCAGACTCATCCATTAAGAGCTCCTTGTAATACATAGAGCCCAGTAATCGCCTGTGGTAAATACCCGAGAACGTTCTACTTTCGTACTTAGTGCTACTTGAACGCTACGCGTTTACCTTCTAGACCAGCCCACATAATATTTCATATTTTAAAGATGCAAAAGCAAAAAAAAACATTCGAACCCTTCCAAGATATAAAGATATACATCATTGCAAGCGAACACCGCTGTACGTCGCACACTGTATTAACGGTTAGTGTAACCCCTCCGTGGTAGTTTATATTTTACCTGGGAAGGTCGTATAAAACGATATCACAGCAGGAAAACGGCATCAATCGGACCTCTGCATGTATTATCAGTATTACCATCTTCTGTCTACCTAAATAATACCTTAATTATGA